TACTACTACTACTACTACTACTACTACTACTACTACTGCTACTACTGCTACTACTACTACTACTACTACTACTACTACTACATACTTCTGGTGTATTTTACAGGTTCCTAAACATACTTTCACCTACATAAAAAAACACTTGATTAAATAACTAAATTAGAGACAGATTATTCAGTCAATTAGTTGCATCATCTTGTTTTTAAACTCACTGCTGTAGCCATGATAATGAAATTAATGTGACACAACAGCCTATATGCCACGGTCATTCATGACGTATTTCCAGTAAAAGTCTTGACACGCTCTTCCCTTCCACTTCCTGCTTACTGCCTATGTTTTTAGCATTAGCTAAAAGCATTAGCTCTTTCCAATAATACAAGTGTCACAGCTCTACGTGAAAAATTCACAGAACAAGCAGCCAAGGAATAGTGAAAAAGGCTAAATTCTGGAACCATAAACACAAACGTCTTTTCTTTGTTTTTATGTCTTTAATCCACTTCGGAGTGATTTTTTTCCACTTGTCTGGACCTGTACGTCTCCTGTGTTAATGTTGGTACATGTAATATGATAATTCTGTACTGTGGAGGTCATTAAGAGTCGTTGGGTGAAATAATATTTCGCTAACACTGTGTTGACCGTGAACCAGAAGTGTTGGGAGTGGCATCAAGTGCTGGGCCGGATGTCCGTGGCATATAGGCTATTTATTACAATGATTTTAGACAATCATTTTACGTTTATATTGTTTATTCTTGATTTAGTTTTATTTGTAACAGAACATGCCATTGTGCCAAGCAATGAAGACACTTAACTGCATGTTGAAAACTAAGAACATTAAAAACTTTACCCAGTAAACAGGTAAGACATTGATAACCACCAGCAGTGAATTTGAATTGGAGTTATAATTTTAAATGTTTCTTTCTGCTCTCAGAGGAGTAAGACACTTTTTCTCTCTCTCCTGCCTTCCCTTATTTTCACCTTTGCTGCTCAGAGCCTCCTCTACGTTTTCATCCGAAACTGAAATTATGGGCTTCTTTTTGTGTATTTGGTTAGCTGGTCTCTTCATAAATTTAGGAAAACATTTTTTCCATGGGAGGACATGTCAAAGGTGGGACGTCTGTTCTGCTCTGTTTAACTAGCCTATATTGGATTCTGATCACTGGATTTCTACAGATTGGCTTGGTTATACATCAGTTACCGACCAGTTATACATCGGGGAAACAAAGCAGCCACTGTTCAAAAGAATGTCCCAACACAGACGAGCTACATCTAATGGCCAGAACTCTGCAGTTTGTCTTCTGAATAACTGAAAATGATTTAACACAGTTGTTTATACTTTTAGCAGCTCTTTTTATTCCACAGC